GGGATCGACTTCTTGAATTACTGACGGGCCCTCCCGGTGGCCTGTCCCCTCGGACTCAGCCCACCTGCATCTGCCGACCTCAACCCTGACTGTCCTTTCCCTGCCCTTGACCTTGACACGGCGCACCCGAGCTGCAGCAGGGCGGATGAGACTGGAGCTAGAAATACCAGGGCCAGAAGCACGGAGGGGTTTCTGAGGGCGCACTGGTGTCGGGAAATTCAGATGGAGGTTTGGGGGTAAGAAACCCAAGGGAGAGCAGCTGGTTTCATGGGCCCCCAGCGGAACACCCACCCGGCGGGGGAGCCGGGACATCTCTGCACCCGGACGAGCTCGCTCTTAACACCCCTCCGTCGAGCAGAACCCAGGATGCTCTGTGGCTGTCCTTCTGGAGCCGAAAGGCGAGCGCTGAGCAGGACGAGATTCTCCATCTTCCTGAGGCTTTTCCTTTTGCCTTTTTCGGGCGGCAGTTGCTGTAAAGTACCCCCCCACCCCCACCCCATCTGCAGTTCGTTGCTTTTCCTGGTCATGCGATTGAAAGTGGAGATTCGGTGGGAAGCTGGAGCGTGTTTCACGGGTGGGAGAAGACTGCCTACACTGGGCACTATTTTAGGTTCGTGTTTAAATTCCAAATTGGTTCCGTGGAGAATCCCTGTGGCTGGGCTGATCCCGGGGATTGGTGTGAGGGGAGAGCTGACACCTCAGCGTTTCAGCAGGTAGAAGCTCGCTGCGATGGAAATGAACGTCCCCTACGCCGTGTCACTTCTGGCGTCAGAAGGCCAAGTCCCCACTTCCGAATTCATCAGTAATTCCAGGACGTCCGGGTGAGGAAATGAGGTTGCCCAGGAGTCCGGAACAGCTCCACGTTTTGAAAACGTATTTTAAATGAACTCCGTCCTCCCAGCTCACACTCCTCCCCCTAAAGGGTTTGGCCATTTATTCCTACATTTTCAAAGGGTTAGAAATGTTTGATTGGAGTCATCAGTTTTAAAGTCCGTCCAAAAGGAATCATAGGTCTACGCTGGATGGGCCAAGCCTGGTGTTTTCCAGAGCCGCTCTGTGGGCCTCTGGCATGAGGGCGCTGGTTAGAAGCAGGTTCCTGGAAATGTCCAATTGCTGCCTTGTGCACCTGGAACTGTTATGACTGGTGTAATACTGTGCACCAGCTAGATGTAAGTGAAAAAGAAAAAACCGTTTCCTGGATCCTGTCCCTTTTATGCACTGAAGTTCTGTCTTGGCGAGGAGACCGGGGCTGCGATTTCAGTAGACGCTGCGGGGACTGTGGTTTAGCTGTGCCTCAGGCCTCCTCACTAGGATCTTGTCGGAAGCTGACGTCCGGCCTTCCCGTCCGTCTGTCCATCCGTCTAGGCTCCCCTCAGGACAGGCTTTGCAGGAAGAGCAGCCGCCCCACACTTGCCCGCTGGTGAGTGGGGCTGGGGCCCCACCCAGCTTGAGGAGGCACTTTTGACCCTCACAGGAGGGGCCTGGGGAGGAAGGTGGCGCCTAAGAAAGGGCTGCTGGGGAACCAGCGGTGGGGCCTGCGCTCTCTCCTTCCTTCCCACCTTGCACACAGTCTTCTCCAACCTTCCGGGACCAGTTGAGAAAGAACCTCGGGTCTGATCACAGCCCACCGGATCTGTTCAGCACCGTCTCTCCCGCCTGCTGGAGCCCGCTCCCATGTTAAATCCCTGGGAGCATGCGTAACGCACGGAGGGAGGCTGGGCGAACCAACTTCCATGCGCATTGGATTCTCACACCCATCCTCAGCCGATATGCAGATGGGAACGAGCATTTTCGTGTCATTTTAACATGTCTCCCTCCTCACCTCGCCTGCCGCAGAATTCCCTGGTAGAGCGCGCAACACCACGGACCACGACTAGGGGGTGCTAGTCACGCCGCCGCCACGGGCGCGCTGGGGCGACAGAGGTGCTGCCGGTGTCCCTGCTACCTGCTCTGCTTCCCCCGCACCTGCTCCGGGTCTCCGGTGTGACCAGCCATCCTCCACACACAGGACCTTTCAACCTCGTTATAAGTAATATAATTTTATGTACAGACAGTATCAGAATATTGTACAGATTCTTTATTTCTACAATGTGCTTCTTTTTGTTTAAAAAATAGGAAAATGCTCTTTGCATTTTGTTGATGACACTGCTGCCTTTAACTTCCCCTGGTTTCCTTTCTTCCCTGCGCTGACCGCTCCTCAGTTTGTACCGATACTACCCTGTGGACTGTGTACGCAAGACCGAGCAGCAGACAGAGGTGCCTGGGGTCCGAATACCCGGTGCACATGGGCCTCCTGGGTCGGCAGCTTCGTCAGACTCGTCTACACACGGGTCCTTCCCAAAGGGTCACAGTGTACAGTTAAGGGAGCATAATAATGTGTCGGTTCTCCTGTCCGGTCTCCGAGCTGAACGCTGGGTTCTGTAAGCAGTGGCTCTGCAGGAAACTGCGGCCCTGCAGGTTGCCCAGCTCTCCTGGTGGGACAGAGCAGCCCCTCTGAGGGCCAAGGGGGGTCCATGGGCGTGAGGTGCTCAGGTTGCCAGGGTCAAAGGAGGCTTCCGGTGGGAGCAGATCCAGCTCTTCCACTGGATCAGGGGTCAGGGTGGCTGACATGGCCAAGTCCCCCTCTTTCTGGCGAAGGAAGGCCTTTCCCGCCTTGCGTCAAGGACGGCTCCTTGTCTATTTCTCTTACTATCAGCCGGTTGAAATGGGAAGTGTGGGCAAATAGAGGGTGGAGAGGGAGTGGTCCTTTTACTGGACTTGCTTCTGGCCCCAGAGATGCAGCCCCAAGAGTGGAACTCCTTAGAAGACATCCCCCAAATCCATCCCTGCTCCCCTTTCCCCCGCGGAAATATTCGCGAGTAAGCGGACTGGGTGGGCAAGTACACTCGGACACGTTTTCTAACCTTAGGAAGTTGCTGCAAGGCCTGTTGTCTTGACACATCACTCAGGTGTCCCTGGCGTGTTATCCCATGTTCACTTGTCCTGGAAGCAGAACGGTCAAAGGGTTTCCTTTGTACCTGCCCTTTCCGCATACAGCAGGCGTTCGTCAGTGCTCAAGGGCAGACAAGTTACAGACAGACAGAGAGGAAGGAGGAGGAGCCCTGGGAGCGTGTGTGCGTAGCGGTGGCCAAGATGCGTCCAGTTCACAGAGCCTGCCCTCCCCCTAGAATGATATTTAGATCAAGTTTAGCTTTTAGCGTCCAGGTCTGGTTAACTGCCAGGGTGGCCCAGAATCGCATGCACCAATATACCCAGGAGTCAAAATACAATATTAGTGGGCGATCGAACTTCACATTGTAGAGACAAAATAGCTGTGATTAAGCCGCATACGTATGCTGGGAAATGGCTTCACCGGACGACTAGTATAAAGGTTGTTGGCCGCAATGCTATCCCTCTCGTCTGCTTGGAATAAGGAACTAGATTCTCAAATGGGTCTTGTTCAAGCTTCACAGAACTTTGTGGCAATTCGCGACTCGACAAGGTTGTATCTGCAAACTCTGTCTTCACAGATCCTAATAAAACAAAGCTCTGGATTTCGCGTGGCCCGGACTTTTTCCCCCCATTCTGAATGTGTAAATGGAATTTTAGATCCATCACTGCCGACCTCCCGCTCCCCATCTCAGGTGAAGGTAGATTTTTCAGGTGCATCCTTGCGTGTGGCAAGCTTCATTAACTTCCGTTCCAACAGGAGGGGCCCCTCTGCTCGATGGTAAAGCTCCATTGATGTCTCTAGCCCCTTTCCCTCCAAGCGGGAGGGAAGGCCGATAACCCAGCGTGGCCACAGGCAACTCCGTGGCAGGCAAACAAAAAGGCTGTTGGAAAAATGGCTCAAGGTCAGGCACCGGTGCCCGGGCCTCTGGCGTCCTAGCGGACACACCACACTGGCTGCTGCTCCATGTCTGGGTCTCCCTCCGGAGTTGGCTCCAGAAGCTGCTGGGTCCTGTGGGTGGGGGGAGGCTGGGAAGTGCAGTAGACAGACAAGCACACGAGTGTTGGACACGTGCACAGGCGGACAGGCCTCCACTGCCTTCTAGGGAGCGGCTGGGGCCAGCAGGCTGGAGGCCACGCAGCCCCTCCGAGTCGCCAGCGGGCCTCTTGTCACTCCAACGCAATGAAGGCTCAGGTCCCCGCCCCCTCAGTGCCCACAAGACCTGTCCGGTTAGAGGGACTGCGGCCCCCCATTTTGGTGCATTGCCCCTGGGGCGGAGCCCTGGGGGAACACCTGTATATGAAGGCCTCCAGGATGGGCCTCTTTTCCTGCCCAGGCTGCTTCCTGCCCGCCAGTTACCCACCGGGCACAGGGAGGGAGACCCTCTTCCTTGCACCAGGCCCTCCAGCCCCAAAGCAGGCCCCGCGGTGGTCTGCCCAGTGGTCGCATCACCGCATCACAGAAGGCGGTTTGAGCTGGATCCCTTCGCGTGCCCCTCCCCCCACCTCCAAAACCCGGGGAGCCAGGCTGTGGGAGGCCCAGAAGGAGGTCCGCTTTGGAGACCAGGCATTTGTGGGGCTACTGAGCGGGGTGCAGGGTGAAGCGCCCCCACATTCACTCGGCTCACCCGCCTCCCTGGCACAGATGTGGGGCTGCAGGAGGGTGAGGCCGT